GTTTTACGTTAGTTAGGGCCGACAGAATGCAAAAGCGTAAAGGAGGGGGAGTAGCTCTATTCATTAGGAATGCTATCCCATTTACCATTATCGACAGTGTATCCCATGAGAGTGGGACGTGTGAATTAGTTAGTGTCCGCCTGAAATGCAAGGGACAAGAGCTGCTGATTGATTTGGTCTACCGCAGTCCAAGCTGTGAGGTAAATGAAGTCCTGCTAAGCAGTCTCAATACTCGGTCACAAAGTGGTCGATGTCTAATCCTAGAGGACTTTAATGCACCTATGGTAGACTGGGAAAATCTGCGAACTAAATCGTCGGAGAATTCTTTCGAGCAGGAACTAGTTGATGCGTTTATCACATGTGCTCTAGTGCAACATGTGAAAGAAGCGACTAGGTGCGACCCGGACACTGAAGCACCGTTTCCATGGGCGCATACAAATCCCCTCACACATACACCGGATAGCGTGACCATTAAAGAACTCGATGTCTTTGGTCTACTAACTAAGCTTGACATAGGTAAATCCACGGGGCCCGATGAATTACATCCTAGGCTACTGAAGGAATTATCTAACTTCGTTGCGAACCCTTTAAGTGTATGCTTTAACCTATCCGTAACGCAGGGTCGTTTACCCAAAGACTGAAAAAACGCCATAGTAAGTCCTGTCTCCAAAACGTACAAAACACAAACCTGAGAATTACCGCCCCGTTAGCCTAATTAGTGTGGTTGTTAAAATCATAGAAAAGATTATTCGGAAGGAGCTGTTTAACTATCTCGATAAAAACCGGATCCTTTCGGAGAAGCAGCACGGTTTCAGAATAGGTTACTCTTGTCTCACTAACTTATTAGTGGCTCGTGAAAGCTGGTGTGCTCTTAAAGACCAAAAGTTACCCGTAGACGTAGCCTTCATTGATTTCTGTAAAGCTTTTGACAAGGTTCCGCACAACCGGCTGTTATATAAGTTAAGAAATGTCGGGATTGGAGGCAATCTATTTATGTGGATAAAAGACTTCTTTGTTATGCGTCAATAAAGAGTTCGGGTGAACTCAAAGTTATCTAGCTGGGGAACTGTGCTTTGTGGAGTGCTCCAGGGTACACTTTTGGAGCCAGTGCTGTTCCTCTTGTATGTAAATGACCTTCCTCGTCTCCTATCATCATCGGTCTTGCTATATGCTGACGATGTCAAGATATGGAGAACGATACGATGTGGGGTGATAGCTTAGAACTCCAAAATGACCTGGAGAAATTATCTGAATGGTCTCAAACCTGGCAGTTGCCGATAAATACTCCCATGTGTGTTGTGATGCATAGCGGTCATCAAGGGACAGATACATACACGATGAATAACACTGAGCTACCTGTCGTCCAGACATATAATGACTTAGGAGTTATCGTTAGCCAAGACTTAAAGACTACTGCACACTGCCGTGCAATAGCCGCCAAAAGTTTTAGAACGTTATGGTCAATACGTAGGGCTTTTAGTCATGTCGACGCCAAGACGTTTTTGACTTTGTATACAGTGTTCGTACGTCCTAAACTTGAGTACTGCATACAAGCGGCCAGTCCCTGCTTAAAAAAGACAGTGAGCTCCTGGAAAAGGTTCAGAGAACGGCAACTAAGCTGATTCTTGGAACGGCGAAGCTTCCGTATGAATCTCGACTGGCCAAGCTGAACCTTTTCCCGTTGTCATATCGCAGAACTAGAGGCGACTTGATTACAGTTTTCAAATTGCTTAGTGCCAAATTTGCACCTGATATGCCCTCATTTTTCTTGTCTTCCAAAACAGAGAATTTACTAGGAGACTCCAAAAAGGTTCACAAGCCAAGAACAAATTACTTGTCAGCTGACTATCGACTTTCCCATCGAATCATCAACGAGTGGAACTCATTACCTCGGCACGTGGTTGAGGCTCCATCCGTCGATTCTTTCAAAAGAAAGTTGGATCAGCTGAGGCACCACCATTGCCAGGACTAACACAGGCCGTCAGGCCTCCTGTCCTTCCCAAACTGAAACTGAAACAACTCTATTATTGACATCTAAATGGTTCAAATGGTTCAAATGGTTGTGGACGGAATAGAAGACGCTTTCGCTTAACAGGCTTCCGTTTCTAGTAGCAGGGGATCACGAATAACTCCGGGCAGGAACCTAGGTATGTTAACGATAAAAGAGAAAAAACAAAGTGGTAAGTCATAGTATGATACTATCCTTAGTCCCTAAGAAAAGATCAGGTTGCCTCTTAAAGGACTCCTGAGAAGTCGTTCGGACTAGCTCAACCGGCAGCGAATTCCAGAATTTGACAGCTCTTAAGGAGTAGGAGTTGTGTCTACAGTCCGTTTTACTATGTTGTATCTCCGATTTCTGGGTGTTACCCCATAGGTTAGTGTTGGAACCAAGCTTAAGTAGGTGTTTATGAGGATGTCCAGAAGTGTTAAGGATACTGTAAGTCATTAGGAGGTCACCTCTAGGACGCCTATACTCTAATGGGTAAAGGTTAAGTGATTGGACGCGTTTTTCATAAGATTTGAATTTGAGTCCCCGAACTGATTTCGTGGCTCGCCGTTGGATACGCTCCAGAGTGTCCTTATCCTTTTGGACTGAGGAGAGAAATACAATGTTTCCGTACTGTAAATGGGGACGACTAAAACTGTTGAAGATTATGTGGAAAGTTTTTCTGTCAAACTGGCCAAAAATGAGCTTCAGTGTTACCAGTGCAAGATTTTCTCGAAAGGCATTTTTGTCACAGAGTATGACTTCAAATCGTAGGGTACCAGGACTCCTAAATCTTTTTCAACTTGAGATACCTCTAGAGATGAGTTTCTTAAGTTGTAGTTGTAGTCTGAAAAATGTCACAGATGGACTACTTCACACTTTGAAGTGTTAAAGATAAGTCCGTTGTCATACGCCCAACTTTGAAGTCGAGTCAGATCCTCCTTAAGTGCCATTATATCTTCTTGGTTGCGTATCTCTCTCCAAAGTTTCACGTCGTCGGCAAAAAGTAATAAGTCTGACGTTACCTGTTGAGGAAGATCACTTATGTAGATCAAGAAGAGAAGAGGTCATTGTACTGAGCTCTGAGGGAACCCACTAGGACATTCCATAGCCTGAGATAAAGTGAAATTAACCCTGACCTTAAAATGTCGATTTTTTAGATATGAAGTGAGCCAATCGATTAGAGGTGGTCTGATACCCAATCGTTTGAGCTTACTGATAAGACATGTATGGTTAGCCTTATCAAAAGCTTTTGAAAAATCTAGGTAGATGATATCAACCTTCCCCTTGTGATCAAGGATGGTTGTCCATCTGTCAACCGCAGTCAGCAGGTTGGTAATACAAGAGTAACCCTCCCTGAAACCATGCTGTTGGGGTGAGAAGAGATTTAAGGACAGTAAATAGTCGTTTATATCATCGCATATCAGGGACTCCATGATTTTTGAGGGTATGGAGAGAAGAGCCACCGGTTGGTAGCTTGAAGGTTCGCTGCGTCGACCTCCTTTGAAAATTGGTGTGATGTGAGCCAGCCTCCAAATTTCCGGTAGTTTTCCTCGACTTAGCGAGTGTGAGAACATCACACCAAGCGGCGTTGCCAAGATTGAGGCTGCTTCCCTCAGCATGGCGGAGTGGACCATGTCCGGGCCAGAAGAAGTGTCTAATCTTAAGTGCTGAAGTTTCCGGAACACCAAGTCAGCGCTTAGGTTCACTTCGGAAAGTCCTGTGGAATCGCAAATGAAACTGTCACCAGTAAAGTTAGTGTCGGTCGGTTGAAATGTCTGGGAGTAATGTTCAGCCAGAAGGTTAGCGGTGTCGCCACCGTTGTTGGTCGGGCCGTTAAGACCTACCAGTTGGGAAACTCCAGTTTTGGCTTGACGAAGAGAGTCTGCATAACGGAATAAGCTTCTAGGATTAGAGGCAAATTTGTCCATAAGCTTTGTCTGGTACTGAAGCCTATCTTCTCTTATAGCCATCATGCATATGTTCCTTATATGTTTATATTGCCTATACGCTCCATCGTTATTAGTTCGTTTGTATTCCGCCCAACAGTGCCTTTTGCGGCTTAGCAGGCGAAGGGTACGGTTCTTGATTATTGTAGGTGGCTTGCAGCTTTTGGGAACCGTTTGAGGAACTGAATGGTTTGTAGCACGTAAGAGCGTGTGCAGTAAGAAGTCCCAATGACCGTCCACGTCGAGTTGAGGGTGAACATCCCAATCCACCTGTTGTAGATAGTCGTGTAAAGCTGGCACATTTAACCGTTTAAAATTCCAACGCAAGTTATTGGTGGGGTGTCTTAGCTTAGTTTGCTGACAAAACTGAAGGCTATGACGGCATGATCGCTCTTTCCCAGAGCAGCCAGGATTGAGAGGTTGTCAACTAGGAATTCTTCGTTAGTGAATACACAGTCTAAGCGCGATGGTGTCTGACTGTTTCTCCAACGAGTTGCCGGCCTCACATTTTCGAACAATCTTAAGTCATCGATGAGGTTGAAGAACCGAGCTTCAATTGAGTTGTCACCTCCAGTATACGTCTGTTCCGCGAATTTGACTCTAGGGGGATTAAAGTCCCCTAGAATCACGATGTGTGTGAAACCGAGACGAGTAGAGCGGGATAGTCCTTCCAGCATATGACTATCGTACTCGATGTCGGCAGTTGGCTTCCTGTAAATGACTACGACTAGACACCTCGAAGTACTTGACAACGCGTGAGCTTCTTCCTGTTTGTCTGTATGAGCCTTATGTGAATGGACAGGTAGCCCACCTATATGAGGTTTGCCGAGGTGGTAGGCCCTGTTCTTTGCACGTTTTTTTGTCGTCTAGACAGTTCACAAGTGGAATGATCAGCTCCAACTTGCCTTTGTGTTTGGTCCTAGCTTCGTATGGCATATCTATAACACTCCTAAAGGTGATAAAAAACCCAAGTTGGTCAAATGGTCGATAGTAATTACGAATAAATTAATCTTAATGATTTGTGTCATAAGCCATCTGATGTGACAATAAGTTAGGATATATTTGTTTTAATTAGTGCCGAAAGGTTTTGGCGTTGTCAAATAATCCCCAGTTTCTGGGTCTTTATTCTGTCGCAGGTAGGCTTATCACTCTCAGTCTTTTGAAACGACTTTTGTAATTGAAGTTTATCCTGTAAGCTGATCTGGATACTAAGGTTCTTACCATTTAGGACGAGAATTCACACTACCTACTATTACCATAGTAAATGCTACAATTCCGTACGTTGGGCTTTTCAAATGGCATTCAGCTTAACTACTCATAACTTTCTACCTTGGCACAGTATTCCTGTTGTGTTTATCTACAAATATGCTTTTAAATACAATGGGTGATTTTGGCAAACTAATGGTGACTTCTGTCACGGACAGTAATCAGTTCATCACCGTATCTTTGTACTTCTACGTTGTTCTTTGCGCCAGCAAGAATTTCGCCAAATAGTGATTGGACCCATGAAGATTAACTTACCTAACCGACCTCAGGGTGTCAAACCTACGATTCAGTGACCAGGTTGTTGAATTACATTGTCTTGAGTCATTTCAAAAGGTTCAGTTACTCTTTGTGTCCGAAGCGTGCCCTACGTTAAAGTCATTTTGACAAAACAGGGGTGTCAATGTTTTAACACAGTATGATAGTTAAGTAAGTCGACTTTGAGTTAGCTTCGTTGATTACTCCAGTCACACTGAATCACATTTTCATACTTAATATTTTAACATCAACCTGTTTGTTAGGAGTCTTGACCAGTTAAGATGGCTTATCATTATCTACTCCTTTAATGTTTCTGCTTCCTGTCAATTGGTCAACAATAACTGCCTTAGAATTATCTCGTATCTCTTCATAAAGCCCTGTTGTAACATAAACAACGCGGTAAGATAGACGATCTTTGATTTAATATTATTAATTGGTTGGTTATATACTTTTATTTGGACAGTGATAGATATTTGGGAGCTAATTAACCTGGGAATCTACTTTGACTGCGATTTTAGCCAACTGATCAAGCTGCTCATAATACCTATAAACGTATTATCTAGATAAATGATTAAGCAAGTTCACTCTTAAAACTGTTTGCTATTCATAAGAGATATATGACCAGTTGATGTAACCGGCTTTTGTTTTTATGGTTATTATGTTATGTTTCTTCTTGGAATCTGGGTTTAAAGTCATAGCTTCCGTTAAAGTAAATTTGACTAGAGTTAGCCATGCTTATTCATCTTAACTCCGATTTGTTCATCCGTAGATTCAGAAAGATGACTGCAGATTTGACCGATGAGAGTCTCTTTCCTATTGCTATTCTTATTGATGAGTTAAGAAATGAGGAAATGCAAACTCGTCTGGCTAGCATCAGAAAACTTACTACTATTGCTCTTGCACTTGGTCCAGAGAGGACAAGAACAGAATTGGTTCCATTCCTAACCGATACCATATATGATGAGGATGAGGTACTTAGGGAAATGGCCAAACAATTGGCAGACTTTGTTCCATTGGTTGGAGGACCTGAATATGTCCATTGTCTTCTACCACCATTGGAAGGACTTGCATCTGCTGAAGAAACGGTTGTGCGGGATAAAGCTGTGGAGACGTTGAGAACACTTGCACCTAGTTTCTCACCCAAGGTTAGTTTTTCCTCTTTGTACTGGGTCCACTCTTTGACGTTATCTTTAAGTTTTCTTATAACCGTACGCCCATTCATTATTTATTTTATTTATTTTAAACACATAAATATTGGTACAAGAGAGCGCCAATATATATGCGCCACACAAAACAATGAAAATTCGAAGAGAAATAGAAAGAGAAAAAAAAACTAGGGAACGCAAAAGAAAAAGAGAACAATGACGAAGAGATTGGGGTAAGGTAGTGTGGTAGTAACGACGGAACGAAAAGGTACAATCAGAAGAAATCTTTCAGGTAAAGGAGACACAACCACTTTTTAGAAAGAAAGTAAAAGGTTACAGCAGGATCGCCACTGGCTTCTATTCTGAGCCATATCTGATAACGTCTCTAGCCACTGTGTAGCACCATCTCTCGGGGTCCGAGAGATGGTGCTACGCCCATTCATGGTTGTATCGATATCCATTTTGACTCCAATATTTTCTTCAGGGCTGTGAGCAAGATTCGGGACCTTTACCCTTCTCATGATATACTCACTACAACACGTAACTATCTTCTGGAGTATTATAAAAGCTTACAAGTGTGGCACAAACTGGATAAGTTCCATACAGGTAGTGCTGTTTGGACTGCCTCGAAATCGTCCTTTTTAAACTCCATGTAGTCACGTACGACTTGTTTATCCGGTTTCTGACGAAATACAACTATTCAGCGTCACTGGGTTAAGGTTTGCGCCAACCAAGGATCGTATCATAATTACTTTTTCTTCTTTGGACGCTTCGTGACAATGTAGTAATGCAAATAATTAACTCAGAGCATTTGATTACGAGTTGGTCACTTTGTAGCTACTTTTCATCTTAATATCCTTGGCTGACAACTCGATTTGTGCTCCAGTTATCTAAGACTGTGGTAATGACTGGGTTTTCTTGGATATCATGTTCTTAGTTTCCCTTATACTGAGTTGCCTCTGTTTTTCGGTTTTTAACATTCTCTATAAAAGACTTCCCTACAAATTCCAGAATATTCATTCTCTACTAAGATCAGTATTGCGTTTCTTTTGGGGGCTTAGAAATGTATAGAATATCCCCGTGGCATCTCACTGGAGTAAATAGCTGGGATTCTCGTTTTAATGCAAATCACGTCATTGTTTCTTCAAATCCCTCCAACATATTGAAGTCTGCAGGTGTTGCTACTCATATCTACATCAGACTTGATACCGAATTGTGATCAATAATAACTCAAAATTGATTTTTGCCGTGCTATCTTTAGCTGTGAGAACACACCGATACACGTTCGTGGTAGATACCACGTTAATAGTATGTCCTGCTGCTATTATCGTCTGTCCAACTATCTTACACTGGGCTGTCAAGTAAACCTCTCTCTCCTAAAACCTCCGGTTTAGTTGTCAATTGTAGTCATAATATGTCCTGTAGTTTACTGTCTAGATGATTCGTTATAAACCGTCCCAAGTTTTTGGTTCAAAGCTACGACTCAGCGGTTGAAATTCGAGTGGCCTAACCACTGAGCTACCCTTCCATGATGTAACTCAGCAACTTAAACATCCTATAACCTCTAGTTTCGACGATTCCCATAGTTGAAAGGTATGGTTATTGTTTTTAATGGATTGCAGTTATATTCTCTTCGGAGAAAAATGTAAGTAATGTAGTATTGTGACTTTTGCTGGGATGAGTATTGAGTAATATTCTTGCAGGCTGACTGACTGTTAAATGAGTTACTTGAGCTCACACCAATTAAAAGGACCAATATACCTTTACGGTGTATCTTCAAGCATAATGGCGTGATCAAACTGTATGGAGGGAAATAAACTTCCCATCTGGAGTTTACTCTGAAACTCATACATAAAGTTTTGAGGAACACCATCTTAACCTAAAAAAAACACATTAAAACGAATAAGTTTGGTTTTTATTTCTTAAACAGTAAATATTCCTCTCTCATCTAGTCAACTTTAACAACAGTATCACAGTCCACACACAAATTAAGTGACTTGTGTGGCGCATATGTATTCTGTGCCCCTTTGTACCAATATTTTTGTGTTTAAATAAATAATTAACAGCTTATGCTTTTTGACTTTTATCTCGATCACGATGGAAGTGTAGTATCTACGAATCGGGATCTCGGTCTTTTAGTTTACAATCATGATGGACTCCGTTGATTGCTAAATAATGAAATGAAGTGTCTATATATTTTACATATATAGTATATGTGTAGATCATGATTTTATGCTATAGTGCTTTAAACAGATACATTACTAGTCATTAATTGGGACTCATCTGCTTTTCTTTGTTTTTAGGATTTGGAAACTCATTTTCTGCCACTGATCAAGCGTTTGGCAACAGGTGACTGGTTTACTAGCCGTACTTCTGCTTGTGGACTGTTTAGCGTGATTTATCGACAGTCTTCTACTGCTGTCCGTGCAGAACTGCGTCGCGCCTTTAAGCAGCTTTGCACTGACGATACTCCTATGGTCAGGCGTGCAGCTGCTAACCGTCTCGGGGAACTAGCTCGTTGTTTGGAACTAGATGCGTTACGTTCGGACCTGTTACCGCTATTACCTCCTCTTTCCCAAGTAAGCCCAATATATCTCTACATTTCCATTAAATCACAAGAGTAAAAATTCGAGTTTATCTACTGCTGTCCATCCTAATTGTTTTCTGTTTTAGCAGGATGATCAGGACTCTGTACGATTACTGGGTGTGAATGCGTCAGTAGATTTCGCTGAAGTTCTTCCTACTGAAGATGTCTTGACACACATCATTCCTCTTATAAGAGGAGCTGCAGAAGATAAATCTTGGAGAGTCCGTTATCAATTAGCTGATCACATTACTGATCTACAGGCTGCAGTAAAACCCCAACTTGCTGGACAGCACTTGGTAGACGTTTACCAGGTTAGCTTTCTCCATAATTTTAGCGTGATATTCGTACCTTAATCGTTCCCTCTTATCTCAAGAAAGATTATAGGTACAATTCTGCTTTAACCGGACCGTCTGTTTTTAGTGATGAAACGTTCATACATTATCATTAACTTCATAGTCCCATTCATAAACAGGCCATTAATTTGATTTATGTATTCATGATAAGGTAACATTTTCAAAGCCTTTTAATGTTGATGTCTGTAAATTTGAAACACATTAGTTTCTTATTTATCAGAAAGACCTTCCAACCATGAGTACGCAGATGACATCGTTTTACTGTGAGGTGGTATGCAATGTATTTAAATCGCTTTTGACCAGTTTAGAGTCACTATCCGTAACCGTAACATTCTCTTTGAACCTTCTGAAGGTAAAATATATCCTCATGGCTGACAAAAGCTTGTGCTTGGATGTTTTATGGTGATGCGTTAGAAAAGTTTGCTTATCTTGTTAATCGTGTGAGTGCTGTCGATGCCGTAACAGATGAAGTCAATCTACACATGGCGAAACCTAAAGTCGCCCTTACTTACCCGGTCCATCTTCGGCGCCTGTCGTGACATTAGGTTGGTTGTAAAAGGTCATTTTATTTTATGCTTGCCCATCTGAGCTAGAGATGTTTTTGGTGACGCCTCGGTCATTTTGTTCTCCGAAGCATGTCCGACATTTGATGGCAGCGCCATGCTAATCATGCTAAGGTTCGGCAATACGTGTTTGAACGCACTGTCGAAAATCCAACCAGTATCATTATCGGGAAGCACTAACTTCAGTGACTTGAACATGCTTTACGAATGTCACATCTTGCATTGTTGAGACTTTGTGGAAAAAGTAGGGTTAGATGATATTTATCACGGGTCTGTGTTTATGATAACTGTTTAAGACTGGCATCCGTCGGTCTATCACAACTCCCTGGTTGGAGTCCTAGAGTGAGTGAAACTCGGGCTTTTATCTGACATACCTCAACGTAGAAGCTAATAGAAACTCATCCGTATTTTCTTTTACATTCCTCATAATATTGAAAGGAATTCATTTAATTAAAACGATTCTTTCAGCTGTATCTTTAACGAACCTTTCTCTTGTTACATACTGTTCTTATGTATATATTTCCTGCTTTTACTCCTATTCCTTCCCGTATTTCTTCACGGTGTTATCTCTATTTGTTTGGTACATATTCTGTTGGTGCTCAATTGTGTCGGAATTCCTTCATACTCAATAAAAATTTCACTGTTTAATTGGTAAATAAGTGGCGGATTTATTTCCTGATGATTCGTATATAGTGAAAGGTTGTCAAAATAGTTACTGTTGGACTTACTCTTGCTCATATAGATTTCTACCTTTCAGCTCACCAACAATGAATGAGAGCGCATAAAAAATTCAAATTGTACACCACCAAATAAATCTGATGGGAACGTTTGTCACACCCCAATTACCGTTTACATAGACTTTTAATGTTTGGAGTGGAAATGGGTTCGATGGAGACTTTTGGGTGCCAAAACAAGACATACTATCAGTCTCTGAAGTCAGTGTTTGTTGGATTGTCATTGTGGTAGGTGTAGACCACCTGGTCAGGAGCAGCACATTAACCGCGATCAGTGATAAAAGACGTCAGGTGACATTTCAGGATCGATCACTTAGTCAGTCAGTCATCTTCAAAGTGAAACGTGGTATTGGTTCAAGTCCCCGCACCTTATCAATACAGTAAGGTTGTAAAGCCGAATCTCAGAGTAGTATAAGTAGTGACACTGTCAGTGGCAGTAGAGAAGATGAGGCATCAAAGATACTATCCAAAAAAAGAATATTAATAATATTAATAAAATTAGAAGAAAATAACTTGAGGAAATTAGATCCAGCAAAAACTGAATGCGCTTGCGCTATTGTGAATGGTTCTGGGCTGTCACTTACGGTCACTAAACATTAATCACGCGGCTCTGTCTAACAGCCAGTATTTTAGTTTAGTTGCCCCTTTCACACAATGTACTTACACGCCAGCGAACATCGTGCATCGAGGTAGGCTGTAGATGAGCGTACGTAATACGTATTTCATCCATCTCAATCGATAGATGTTTAGTACATCAATCGGTCACAATGGAGCAAATGGATTCATTCTTTTTTTATCACGAGTCTTGATCATCACTACAATTTCATACGTCTATTTCTAGAACTCATCCCTTTTCAAACCATATTCGCCGCTGTTTGGTCTTGCGTACTGCCATTGATATATTCAATTTGTGACCAACGTCCATTCTTTCACAATTACCTTCATCGATGTTACGGTTTCAATATATCGGTCAATAGTGGAGTGGAGTTATATCTGAAGTAATTAGGGTATCTATTAAAAAGTCCGAAACATTTCCTACGTCGAAATATACTATTTTAAGTGGGAGTTGAGAAAGAAGTCCAAGGTACTTAAATGGATAGATATGAACGTTATAAAAATGAGTGGGATTCGCTTGTATTTATATCCAACGTTTTAGAATGAAAATAAGTAACAATTTTTTTTATTAGCAAGGGAGCTACTCAGTGTAGTTTGGAGATTTCTTTTGAGGATATTTAATCAAAAGGAATTCATTTACTGGTTTCTGTGTTATTTCTGTTAATTTATATTCCAATTTCCCCTCTCTTAATTTCACGGAAGCCGATTTCACAGTCAAACTAATGAATTAAGATGTGGCATCTAACCCTTGAAGTAGGTGCCGTTGTCACAATAAAAAACTCTGTGGTATGGTGTTTGTTGTTTTAACTTAAACGTCAATCTTTCCCAATGAATGAAAGTATCGATGACCTGAAACTAAAGAAACATGCTATTAGACTTCTTGTTTTGTATTTTATGAAACATGAGTCGGAAAGATTCCATATTCCCGTTAGTTTACAGACATAACGTGGCCAGTTAATTAAAATTGATCAAATGTGTAAATAACAATCTATTTCTTTGATCAACTCGCATTCAGTAACATTCATATATGTACCGATTTCCGCTCCACTTTCATACCTATCCTGACATTGAAATGTAAATAACAGCCAATCACTTCAATAATCATATACTGATTACCGTGTTTGATTAACCATCGATTAATTCAATGGTTCGTACACACGTGTATATTCGTTCTCAATAGGATTTCGATCACATTGTTAATGAAGTAGAATGGCGTGTGCTTAATGCATGGTCATCGTTGGTTTCTCTACTCTTAGCTTCATTTTACTTGTTACATGGTTTAATTAATGTTCTTAAATCGTCAAAATATAGCAAAAATATTTATGGTTAAATAACAGGAGAATTTTATCTAGTGATTATATGAATCAAAATCACCGACAATGGCGCTGGTGCACTCACCCTTCATCTTGATCTTAAATTCCAGTATTCCTTCATCCATACATTTCCACTGTCTTCTCAATGTCTAGTCTTTTTATCACTACAACTACTACATCACTCTGATATGTGGTAGTGAAAGAAAAATATGATTAGTCGTTGAGCGTGAACAAACAGCCACAGCCTACAGTCTATTGAATATTTGATTTCCCTTCCTGTCATTGATTTCTACTCCGGACTCACTAAGTGTGTCCGCTTGTAATTTTGTTGAATAAAGTATTATTTAGTGTTATTCTGGTTCTCTGTTCTGATTTGTGAATCCTGGTCCTTATATAACGTGATTAGTCTTATTGACGTACTATCGTAATATCCGCGAGATAGAAATATTTTAAACCATCCGTTATATTACACTCCCATCTCTTTTGTTATTTGTATTTCGTCGTGCTAATCAGGTATGGAAAGTATGGTAACTTGGGCCATTGCACATCTGTCCCAGGCTATATGTTCATAATTTGTGTACGTAATGATGACATCTTTCATCCGTCACTAGATAACAGTAATAGCTCATGTTATTACTGCATAGTTTGAGGCCAGCTTCTTTTGTGTCAGTGAATCACATCTCATTAAATGTAATTCGCATAATGTAACTTGTTAATAGAAGTAGGTTTGATTACTTGGCTTTAAGCCACACTTTATGTGAAAACCAGCAATACTATTCGTCTACCTAAAGCGACGTAGGTGAGATGTTGTTTAGAACTACAATCCGGTTTTTGGAATCCAAGCGTCAACTCACTAGCGGTACGCTGACTCTTTTAAACTATTAATGTTTAGATGAATAAATACTTCTGGTGAAATATTCTGACCAAGTATGCACTCGTTTCTAATGCAAAAAACTCTCAATTCTAGATCCTTCTCAAAGATCCAGAAGGAGAAGTTCGCGCAGCGGCTGCAGGCAAACTGAAGAAGTTTGCTTCGTCTCTAGCCCCTGATATTCGTGAATCCGTAATTATGAAAACATTGTTACCTATCATTCGGGAAATGGTCGGTGAAACTAATTTACAGGTAAAAACGGCTCTGGCCGGTGTCATGATGGCTTTAGCTCCTTTGCTTGGCAAGGAGAATACATTAGAACATCTTCTTCCATTACTGTTGATCCAATTAAAGGACGAAAATCCAGATGTAAGTTTAGATTCATAATTTCCTACTTTTGATTAGCCGTAGTAAATGAAACACCCTATACATTTCTGTGTTATTGCTTTTCACACAAATTGCTAGATCTGGTCAACTTCGTCATAAAGTTCCTATTTGTTTTTCACTCCTACTCATATTGAATTACTGTATAGTTAAACTATTATCCGGATGATGTAAATTTTGTTGTCCGTTGATTATCAGCAAGAATAAAATCAGGAAACATTTAGTGAGTGTCATCTATATAACTATAAATTTGTTTGGCAAGTTGATGAAAATAATACTTATGTAACCATATGTAGGTCGAAACAATGGAGAAAAGTCCAGTAGTTTTATTATAGTTTTGAAGTCCGGTTTATTTTGTTCCAATCTTAATCAGCGAAATATTTATGTTGTGTTTAGATTATAATAGAGTGTAATCATTTTGTCGATACTTTTCTACCGTACGTTAAAAATCAGATTAAGCTTATTTTGCACATTTTTTACTCGGTTACATATGACATAACAGACAAAAATCTTTTTTATGCGTGGAAAAGTGACCTTGTGGTACCATACAATAAAGAGCTAGGAAAGTTTACAAAAGTTACCCGAATTCCATAATTCTGTTTTTTACATGTAGGAAATTTTAGCATAAGTAACCCATTGTACTAATTGTAATTTTTGAAAGCGTCAAGACATTTTTTACTGTTATAACCAGTATCCATCTGGCCAAGGTGAAGAATATTGAGAGAAACTCGTTCTAAAAATTTACTTCCTTGTCCTTCGCACAGTTCCGTCATCTTATTATTTGTGTGGTAATTGTTGCATAATAATAGATTTTTATTTATCTATTGTCAATGAATCCTGAATTATGTATGGTTTTGTTTTTTATAATATCCAATTTTCGGAAATATGTCTCACTTTTTTGTAGGTCCGTTTGAATATTATATCTAATTTAGAGTGTGTAAATCAAATTATGGGAATTACCCAACTTAGTCAAAGTCTACTTCCTGCTATTGTTGAATTGGCCAGTGATACAAAGTGGCGTGTTCGTCTAGCAATAATTGAGTATATGCCACTATTAGCCAGTCAACTTGGTTTGCAATGTTTTAACGAGCGACTCACAAATTTATGCTTGGGTTGGCTAGTAGACGATGTATACGCTGTACGTGAAGCAGCTGTAACAAATTTACGAAAACTTATGGATCAATTTGGAGTCGATTGGGCCAGTTCTCAAATCATCCCTCGTGTAAGTTAGCTATCCTCAGTACTCTTTAATTTTTCTTCAGTCTTGCAGTCAAACGGTCGCGCTCTATTTTCACATTAGTTGATCATTTTTGTCATAGCAAACTTGTTTCAACTCCAGGTGTCAATGGGTTTTTAGTGTTTTTCTTCATATTTGTTTTACCCAATGGCTTGGTCGATCAAGGCCATTAAATTAACAATAGTATTTCATTCACATCACATTTTTTGTAGGTTATATTGTAAAACATATTATTTTATCGTTAAACTGATACTTTTTTGTCTAAGAAATCCTTTAGAAATTCTGAATTATGGCAATCAAAACAATGCAACAATTTTTCAGTGTTTCTGTTTGTTGGACCTAACCTTCAGTTTTCCTGTTTTATTGTATTCGCTGTCATTCCACATAATATCAACGCAAATACCAGTTCTTTGTTTGACTGTTGTTGGGAATTGTAGAGTCGTTCTTTTTTATGATAACTTCGTATTGTCTTCATTTATTATTGGTTGTTTCCTGCGAAAATTGTTTAAAAGCATATCCGATTGCCTCCGAACCCCAATTTTGGCTACAAAACATTGCTGCATACGGACCATGTATAATGCTCGCCTGATCGTCTGTTTAAGGACTATGGAGAAGTTTCACTGACTTATCGTTGATTTGCGTTGCTTTCTTCACTTTTAATGACTACCGATGAAGTGAGATATAAGTTTAGTCAAATTTTTTCTAATTTCATATCTGAGTATAAACATAAATCCCATTGAGACAATTAGTGAATAGAAGAACAGGGAGGGGAAATTTTTCTCAATTATTTTTCATCATGGCTCAGTCAGTCAGCTACAACGTAGGACCAGGCACATATATGCATCAGTACAAGTTTCTATACCTCATTAGCACAAGATGAACAGAAAGATCATAGAAGCACTTACTTCAACGATAGTAAAAAACATTAGGGTGTATATAATTTATAACGACATATTACTGGTTGAGTAACAGTATTACATAATAATATTGTAAGTTCTACAAGTTACTAAAAATCATTCCATTTATCAACTAAGTGATGGAATATGGTGATTGTAATAATCAAAGTAATTACTTGTAAAATCGGGAACCGTTAAGCGACTGTCAGAATACTTAATTACTCACGTACTCACTCAATTCTCAGGTACACCATATTGTCGAAGGTTGCATACGGTTCTCCTATCCACACTGTCGAACGCCTTCTCATAGTCAAGGAAGTTGATTTGTAGTGACAAATTCCATTCAAGCGATTACCCAACAATGATCTGTAGTGTCGCGATTTGGTCTATGAACGACCAATCCTTATGAAATCCAGCCCGTTGCTTTCGAAGTTGCGTGTCTACTAAATTTTTCATTCGGTTCAACAACACTACGTTGGAAACTTTTCGTGGTACTGATAGTAGTTTGACGCTTTTGTAGTTCTCACACTTGCTCAGATCTCCTTTCCTTGATATCTTTCCTCCCAGTTTGTCTGCACTTGTTCTTCCTCCCAAATCTTCATGAATAGAACGTGGAGCATGTTTGCAGTTACTTCTTTGTCTTACTTCAGTGCTTCAGCTGGTATATTATCAGGTCCTGCTGTTTTTCCACTCGTGATTTGTTTGATGCCCATGCTGATTTCCTCGATCGTTGGAGTGACATATATAGGAAGGTCTGTATGTGCTGCTTCGATGTTTGGTGGGTTCAGTGCTCTACCCACTAGTGCCGTTGTTCTTAAACCGCAATGATTGACTTAACTTCTTTGTCCTTGGCTGGCTTACAATATTTCCCTGATGGTTTCTTCGTTGTCATATAGTTATCTCATATTTCCTTCTCTTGAAGCTTTTCCCACTATCATTGCTTGATCTTATGTATTAAGAAAATTTATAAAAGCTTTTTATAATTCGTTAATTTTGCGGAAATTGCGGAAGAATTAAGAGAGGAATACTAAAGTCAGGTAAAAACCAAAACTTTAAAGAAATTAGAAAATGTTTTTGTAATGTATGTGGTGGATCAACGTTCATTTATAACCCACTCCCATTTTAATGACCTGGTTAAGTAAAGAACGGTTAAAAATGACTACGACTTACGTTCTCGTTCACTTAGTGAACGTAAGACCTCATCTTAATTTGAACTAAACTTCCACCAAATTCACCACATAGTGGGGTTAATCACATACCACTGAACATGTTGGTATCCGCATTTATACATCTTTGCAGAAGTTTTTTCAACCCTTCCCTATTTTGACCTTAATTATAATATTATTTAACTTTTTTACTACACCAACATTTTGTCGTCGTAAATCATATACGTTTATGTCTACCTATGATGAAAAACTAGTTAAAAAGAAATATTTATTCTCTCTATTCTGTTTGATAAATATAATCTTCATGGAAGACATTCTCTGTGAAATAATGAACAAATCAACGCAAAATATGTGGTGATACTTGCATAACTCAAATTCAGGATGCTATTGATGGGAATCCTACTCAACTAACTGTTGATCAAAAATATTAACCTTATTTATATGCTTGTCACAAATACCCTATGCTGCTACTCCGTAATACCAAAGTATATTGGTAGATTAAGAAGCTGCCGTAGATAGATCGATTCTATAACTTTAGTTATTGCAAGCGAGTGAAACCCAGTTGTCATCGGTGATCTCACGTTTGGGTTTTGCGAAGTGCGTAATGTCCGTGATCCACTATTCCCAGGTGATCGTAGATCTTAAATAAAATGTGACTATTCGCTTTCTTGAGGATGAGAGCCATTTTGTCGTTTAATAAGTATATAAAACCATAACATTCTTTAGAACAATCCTTAGAATGTTGATAATAAATCATGATGCACTTCTATGCAATTAACAATAGAGTTTCGTCATCAGATCTTAGACTTAATACTATTCGGTCATCCTGGGTAGTATAATGCGGCGTCAAGAAATTCAGTTTTCCGTTGCGACGAAAAACACAAAAAAGCTAACATTCTCCCTTGATTCACAATTTTTTCAGAAGTTCTATCTGTCTTCATTGCTTGACTTAATTGAAATTTAGTTTGTACGTCACCTTGAGTAATTGTCAAGGGATTCGTAACATTGTAGAGTCTTCGTCACTCAATTGTAAGGACAAGTTAATTTACGTACCCACTAAATACAATGGTTGTGGCTAGTAATCAGGACCCGTTGTATTACGGTAATATTCTTTCATCATAGTGAAAATTTGAAGGACGACGGGATTCCGAATTTATTTCTTTTAGTATCGCTTTGTATTTTATAATCACGTTCATTCCACTTCACGACATGCTACATTCCTAATGTTATCCCACCTCCATACACAAACTGTTAAAGCAGTATTTAAGACCCATAATGTGGTTACATGTTGGTATATTCTTCTCCACACATTGGTCCAGGTACTATCCGTCGATTGAGTTTTTCAACTAATAGCCACTTGTTAGCTAACATGTTAAAGAAAACCCTTGCGTTGATATACTTTTCTTTGTAGCAAATTAAATCTTTTCTGTAATGAATTGTTATCATAATAATTATAACCTAAATATGTGAAATGATTATTGTTGGTAGATGGATTCTCTACATACGAGAATGTATAGTGCATGATATTAATCGTCTGACCACACTATAACTGCTTTATCCATGTTTTACCAAGAATTTGATTTATGCCCTCGAAGGGGGAATATAAACTCTTGCTTGTAAAGCCTTATTCGAGCAGTTTTTAAGTTATTAGTGATTAGCTTCTTTTGTAATGTTTCATTCACTAATTCTTTCACATATTCCTAAGGAATATTTATCTGCTCTGTCTGCTTCAAGAGGACTAGACTGCAAATGACGTAGAGAATTGAGCAGAACAAATTTATTATGTTATGTCAAGGTCAAACAAGTCTCAAGCTTCTGTTAAATCCATGTGTTTTCATAATGCCGTGTTTTGCATACAGTCTATGGTCATTGGGATTTTACTACGAACTGAAATCTCCAGTCCAAGGAATTATTGTTTACCTGTTTGTGATTTGCCTACATATACACTGGTGTGAGTTTTCGACGTACTTACTGTCTTATGGTCTTTTAACTCTCATAGTTAATCTTATTTTATTGTTTGAAAAATGTTCATTCCATACACATGAAGCTTCAGTACCAACGCTACTTCTAAAAGCACTGGTAAGTAAATAAGCAACTAAATTAAATGTAGGCATTTAAATAATGGTTTGGTGATATTTGGCAGGTCACACTGTAGTCAATTATTACCTATACACTGCTAAATTAGTTTTGGTCCATTCAGTGTTCTAGACCCAGATTATTTTACTGCACTCTTGAGCCGAAAGTTTTCAATACAGTGGTCTGATTTCTTACTTCATGGGGTTACAATTTTTGTGTTGGTATCAAATGATATTTGTTATTGACGTAGTTGAATTCAGATATCAGAATATATGTTTAGCTCTTCAGAAATAAATTATCGTCTTTGTCGGTTGATAAGTGTTTAACTGTAACAGATCATGTGGTTTTGGAGGTTATTCTAGTCATAGTTTAATTGTTTTGCTTTTATTCCATGTATGTCACCATAATGTCACTTTATTTGTTAAACAACCACTACATGAAATACTGACTAACATGAAGATACGTTCTGTTCAAATATCTGGGAAAATTTATAAGTCTATGTAAAGGTTAGCTTATCAATTCATTAAAATACCACAAGTAAATTCACACAAAATGCATCAAACTTTTTCACGGTTATTTTTAATATAATGATGCCAAGCAACCAAATATTTGACAATTATACATTACTTTCTAAAAAAATTTACAGCTCATACAACTTTCTTACGATCCCAACTATCTTCGTCGAATGATTTGTTTGGCATCCCTTCATCAACTAGGTGAAGCTCAGTCTTGTCGGTCGGAATTACTGCAGAAACATTTACTTCCTACTATAGTTCAACTGGGTCAAGATCCTGTGCCAAATGTTCGTTTCAAAGTAAGAATGGCATTCAGCATTTGAGTGTTATTATAAGCATAACTAAGCTGTATTTGATGCTTTTATCCATTTCTGTCTTTATGCAGAGAAACGTAGGTAGAGACTAAGCTGTAAATATGCCTAATCGAGGTCACTATTATCAAATTTATCTAAAAATTAAAGCCTTGGGCCTGATATACATCATACGTTTTCATCAATGTCAGACATGTATTATCTTATGCTGGTTAAACACATAACATGAAAGATTGTATATAAGGTTTTATTGATGTTTACCGCAATATATAGTTTTAAAAATGATACAATTTTCCAATGCCTTTTCTGCACATTCTAGGTTGGTCAAATTTTGGGCAAAATTGGCCATCTTTTGGATGCATCGACTATACAGACATTTGTTAAACCAACGTTAGAAAAACTGGGCTCTGATACAGATCCAGATGTTGTTTATTATGCCAAAGAATCCAGCGAATTACTTCATCTTTCAGGAAGATGAAAGCCTTGTCAAGAAACCACACGCGTTTTATTCTATGCACAGGATAATTATGATATTTAAATACATGTAAATTGACAGCATATCTGGTACCTTACTTCCAGAGTAGTGATGCCCTATTAATAAAGTAAATGTGAGCTTGTGTGTTTGTGGTTCTTGTTCAATTGTATCTGTGTATGTGCCTTAACGTAAACTAGTTGCATATGTTCGTATTAGTTATTAAATTCTGTTCTCATTATTATTTTGAAGAAAACGATAAGGGAAGTGCATGTCGTCGTTTAATTTATTTATTGTCAACTGCATGAAAGTAGCTTGCTTTCATAAAGCAAAACTCAAATGTTTGTGATTCATCTTTTCTTTTTTATTCAATAAAACGTCGGAATACAATATCGTTACGAATTATGAATATTAGTCGTGTGCTTGGCCCGAATTCCTTGTACAATGTCGCAAAACAAAAATATGCACTATGTGGAAATGTGCTGCTGATTATAGCTGATCAGATAACTAAAGTTTAAATTTTTAGAAGTATGCTTGTTACTACTGCTTTACCATCTAAGGCAATTCTAAGAAGCTACCTGCCGGGTTGCATAGTTAAGAACACAAAGTACTCGTAACTGACCATAAGTATGAAACCATATACTACATAAAACGTAAAATGAATTTATCATAGTTACAGGTAAATCCCATAGTTTGTTCATAAAAGTATCATATTCATCATTGCTACCATTTCGCCTTCAGTAACTTACTGGATTCTGAACCCTTTCAACGTTAAATGCTCATATCTTACGTGATTTGTAACTTAAATGCAGCTACAATAATTTGTGATTACTGTCCGGCGACATTATTGTTTGGTAATTTATGTCGGATCTTTGTTCATATTAATACAGCACTATGAAAGTAGCGTGATCAAGTTTCTGATGACTTTTGAATGGGCAATATGTTGAATAATTAAATAAAATAATGAAAGACATTGAAATCTCTAGAAAAAACACCAACGATCCATTAATAATTGAATTATTTTGGGAATGTACTTTTGTCACCAAATAGTTTGAGTGTCCGTAGAAAAGATCGTATATTATGATTTTCTAGTAACTGACAGTTACTACTTTGAAGGACGTTTAGACCATGAATAAATTAAGCGAGCGTCTCTAATTCACACCCAGTATAATAAACTTATCTGTAATTCATTTCTCTAAATATAAATTTATGACAAACGTGTATTATCCATAATGACGCTTTTCTTCGATTCCCAATTTTCTTGCTGATACCGATAATGTTACTGTTACTACCAGTCAAATTGCTTAGAGATTAACAAGCATTAAACGCTTACCATGATATGGGTACAAAACATGGTAATAAAATTCCCTAAAGACAGTGATAAACTTGTTCATTGAAAATAGGTTTCACTAAGTATATGCTGACACTTATTGTAAATAATACGTCAATTATGTTGCAGTTCGTTTACAGATTCTTTGCAATAAGATTGATCGCCTGAATATTATCATAATCCAGTACTAAATAAAGTTACTAAGGCGGAATTTATTGTTTCCTGAAATTAACTACCTGTAGAAACTATCTTCACCTGGTTGTGTAGAATAACAGCACTAATAGAGTGAATTCCCCAGCCTGTTAACAGTACATTTTCTATTCCTTCCATATTTTCTACCAGTCAAGTGATGTTTTTAATTGTTCGGTATAGTTTTTATACATATAGATTCCCACTCATCTTTAATTGCTTCGTTTCTTCAAAAGTAGTGGCCTGTGTGTATATTAATAAGTTATGTCTTAAATCGATGCACACAAAACATTCTAATCTCAGGTTTCAGTTTATTTTGTATTAGTTAATATGGGTCACTCAACTATTTTTCAATCGAAAATTTTGGCTGGTAAAGTATATTGAGGAAACTATTCATTTAAATAATGATTCCTATTCCTGTGGCCCAATTTGATATAAGTAAATGCTAGGAGTAATCACCTTTGCTGTCCATCAGCGCTGTTCAATACAGTCCGTCACGTATCATGTCTTCACTCAGTTATGTCGGCCGGTTTAACTCGAACTTTCTAGTATTAAATATCGGTCCTGCCATCATGACATGCAATGGGCTTACATTCCGATAAAAATCCTTTGGTAACCAGTGCTTTGGTGCAGTAGTCTTACACCGTATAAGTTAAGTAGCTTAATAACCTTATTTACTGGACATATCACTGATAAAAAGACCGAATTGGAAACCAAAATTTTAGGTCATCAAGCAACCTGCTATGTTGCTAGGCCAATTAGCAAAAACTTTAATGAATTTCTCATTGTTTTAGGTTACCTAAAAATGTATGTGAAGTTGGATTTTAGCTCCTCATTCATATACCTGGCGGTTTTCTGATATTCCATAGATCATTAAGGTTCAGAGAGTGGCAGTATTTTTGATTGTCGATTCGCGTATTATCGGCACAAATTTGTTTCTGTCACTACATAATCCTTTCGTCCACACCAACGAGATTTAAGACATCTATGTGACCAAATTAGCTGAAGGTTATTTCGTACGGTCATAGATTTTTTAAATATTCACAATAATGAGTTACTAAAATATAACTATTACGGTCCTGTTTCGTTTATATGTATACCCAGCTTGACAGGATATATGTCCATAGAATAGAACATCGTATAGCCTCGGTCTAGAGTAAAATTATTTTCCTAAAAGTTCCTACAAAAAAATCACCTTAACGACGTTCAGGCATATAAAGAGTACTAGAGTGTATTGAAGGCTGCCATATTTTCTGTTGTGTTGTGCGGAAATTAACAGATCATCTAACATACCAATCTGTTTTTCATGAACTCATTTGTTATTTGACCTAAACATTCTTCAGCATTAGAGATAACATGAGAGCAGTGACGTTGCTCCTTAATATATAGTTTTCGGCGCAGTGCTTTTAAACCAACTTCTTACATTTCCGTAGAGTTGCATTTTCGGAGATGTCGGTTTGAATTACATGCATCCTCAGGACCTACTTCAAATGCGACAGCTTTTTGATTATTCCAGAAGGTTCAAAGAAGTTTGATTGGATGGCCTTGTTTCCTACTGGTTGTGTTCCTAGGTTCCACCTCATATCTTAGGGTTCCCATTGCACGTTTTGTTCGGTTAACTTCTGACCCACGTGCTCGATTGATCTTTTCCACATAGCTTGACAAGTCGGATTTATGTCTGTGTATCTGACGATGGGATCCTGAATTGAGTTCCGTGCCATTTTCTACGGAACACTGAAATGAAATGAATTTCCTTATCTTTTCGGACAATAACAATGCTATAATGAATTTCGCCTTTTGAATAATATCCATTTACAGTTTTTTATGCTCTGTTGGATCATTGCTATCGTATTTTAGTATTTAGTTTGTATGGCTTGGCACCTTATATTCTTATGTTCCCAAAGTCCGTGTGTCGTACTAATGAAGATATCAGAAATCGGATTTTTTACTTTTCTGATTTTCCCATTGCATAATCGACTTCATCGATGTCGCTGATGAGCTGATGAACGATTTCCAGTTTTCTTTCTTGGGAATAACAAGTATGTGATCTATGTAAGGTATCCAGATATTTAATTTTGCTTTTGATAGAACTGTAACTTCGAGTCTTTGAATTATTGCTGTTGAGTGGAGCCGTGATACAATCAGTCCTATAGGAGTTATTTATTCTATCTGTATATTTGACCTTCCAATCGAAAACGTTACAAGGAACAAATCTATGTGCTAACATAACTGTTTTTCGTTGCTCAGCAGTTGTGATATGAATTTTGTAGAAAGATTTGTTCCTAGTGCTCTTTGCTCCTGAGCGCTTAGCTTATAAGTAGACGTACCGTGGTTCTATGTATTTCCTTTTGAGCTAACTCGTTTAATCCCGGTGTCTTGAGTGATTATTCAAACCACCCATAGATTCTGTTTTCGTGGGATTCCTAACGTTCCAGCACAATCCTTTTCAGAGAATATGGTATTCTGTTTTGGATAATGATTGTCTTGATAGATTTATTACACTATATTTTCTGTGGTTGTCTGTTTTGATTTTTTTCGATACATTTTTCATCGGAAACCATTCATTGTTTCTTGGATCTTATGTCGACTATAATGTTCGATGTCATTAAGTGCTATGGGCTGATTATCTTCAAATTTATTGTTGGTTAGGCTTTGGTAGTGGCCACCTGTGATTTTGCAAACTACTGAGCTAATTTTCATTCACAATGACTCAAAACAAAAGATACTGAACTGATCCATTATGCAAATCCTCATCTAGTTATTTTACCTAACAGAAAATTCGCTTAGAATCACAGAACTTTATGTTATTCGGTCAGTTCTTATGTTTTACGTGAGTGCCAATATAATCACAGGCAATCAACAGTGATAACAATTTCATATAGCAATTAATATGTTTGTCAATCAATTATTTGACACGTTTCGTTTAAATGAGATGTGGTGAAGCTTAGATTGATTATACTTATTGATCAAGTAGAATGCTTAATTAAACCTTCAAATTTACGATCTTATGCTTCAATATTTAAAGCTAAAATTCAACCAGTCACAAACAACAATAATGATAGTATTTGTTGTTAGGTATTTTCTAAAACATATAAGAGTCTTCAAACATGACCAACTCGGTTTTATATCTCATAATCTAAGTTAAGCACTTATTAATATTTTGACTTTACATTAACTGGGAACACGAAACTGTTTCGATTTGGACTTTTAATTAAGGACCTTCGGAGGGATAGGCATGAAGATATATATATATATATATATATATATATATATATATATATATATATATCTTAGTTGAATGGTTTGTTGCTAACCCATCCTGGTTGCTTCCATAAAAGTGAATAATATAACATTGCATCTTTATTTTGTCGTAGTCTTAGGCAAATGTTATTAACATGAGGTTTTACCTGTTGATATTTTTCAATTTAGTTGTTTACTTTTCTATTCTGTCGCGAGTTCGTATGACCTTAAATGACCCTGAAAAAAAGTTATGAAATGAATATTTTAGCATTACTGTTATTGTTTTCTCAATAATTATCATATACTCTTAAAGTCATAGTAGATTTGAAAATTTTATTTATTTACCTTCTTCATTTAACGTTATCAAATAGTTCTCTTCATAAAACTATTTCTGTGCGTCCATTATTAAAAATTGAAGCTTACTGGTCAGTATTCGGCGTCAATACATTGTATATACGTACTTTTAGTGTTAATATGATGCTTTGTTATTCAGTGATCAACCATCGACATGCACTGTATTATTTTGCTTTCTCAAAAAATATATAACAATTCTAATATCGTTATTCACTTCACACCGTTAGCTCACTTTCCAAATTCTCTATGTTTGATCTTACTGGGCTTTAGAAATTTCTTGATTTGTACACATGAAGTTAATTCCTCGTGTATGATTATTACTAAGTGTATTCATACCAAATGTTTCGGTTGAAATCAAGTCAACTATCGATTGCACATTATTTTTACTAAACAGCTTCGTGAAAATTCAAAGCAGTCAAAGCATATTTGTAGTTATTTTTAATCTCTTGTAGTATATGCACTGAACGCATCTCCATTTATAGTCAATGCTCACGACGCACACTTCAAAAAATGATTCATCTGTTATGCTAAAGAAGGAATATAATACTACTGTTTATTTTATTTCGGAAATGTATACAGTAAAAGCTTAGGCAAGTGATCTGTGACTAACTGTATGATGGCTTCTTTTAATGTTAAACCAAATAACATACATAACATTAATTGAATATATGAAAACGAAACAAATCCCAGAACAATTGACTGATTTACGAACGGTTCTCATAATTACGGAGAGTTTTATTTCTGTATTCCAAGAACAGCATCATAGCGAGTAGTATGATTTCAAGTGTCTCTGTTTCACTATGGATTCAGTAAATGACGAATCTAAAATGTTAAATGTGACTCCAGAGTATACTGTCTTGAGATCCAGAAAATTTACTCACAAACACCAGTGGTTTTAAGTTACTTATCATCATTTTCTATTGTCTGAACTAGTTTTCACATACTAAACCACTTCTGGAGTATCCACTTAAATATGCATTAAAGGTAGTAGTGATATATTTACTCTATTTTTATGCTTTGCGGGGTTATTTGTTCAGGCCAATATTCAAACATGGAGTTGTAATAGTTTATATCTTTAGTCTGAGAAACTAAGGAGTCTGGGAAATTGTCGATTCAAGAAGTCCCAACATCCGATGATCAACTTAGCGTGATGAAACGGTAGTAGCCCTCAAAGGGAGAAAATAAATCAAGCTTTAGTACAGGACGATAAATTTGGAAAAAACGTATATTTAATTGCATTATGAATATGTTTGTACGTTTGTGCTACATTTGATTGCTATCTTACCATGTGATTTACTCATAGTATTGTTCCTCTTTCTTACGATCATACCTTGCCTATGGTGTTGAGTCACTGAACACAATAACCTACCAAAAATATCTTGCATTTTCATGTGGTTTTTAACTGGTTAAGTCTCACTACATGTATATGTATGCATGAGAATATGTAAGTGTATGGAAAGATTTAGCTGACTATTTATAGTTTGTTCTTAAAAGTAATTTCAAATACCGTGTTTGGGTGTCTTGTAGAGCCAACTATGCGAATGTTTTTGTTTTACACAATTTTTTCCGCAGTCACTTTTCATTCTGCAGACAACAAAAACTCAAAATGGATAATTGACCATATAGTCTTCAAAAATGGCAAATTTTAACTAGTATCTTGATAATTATTATATATTACTTTTGAGGATGTTTAGTATGACAGGCTGGGATTAAAACATAAACGATGATTTGAGCTGCTCGTGTGTTCAACATTTTTAAAGTTCCATCCTAAATTGCCTTTTGAGGGCAACATGAACAGATTATAACGTAATTATACTAACAGTCAGAAATCTTAGGTTCATGGGGTTAGAATTCTACAGATGATCAACGTACTAGATATCGTCAAGTCATACAAAGATCATGACCTCAATCTTTGACATTTTCTATTGACACACAAATAGCGAATCAATGAAAATAAGACATTATTAAAGTAAACAGTATGGATATACATGCTGTATGCTATTTATGTTGTCAAATATAAGTAGTATGTCACAAAAGTCGAAAGCGGAATACCTGGCAGCAGAAGATTGAATTAAAGAGAACAGGAGGAGGAATAGAGAGTAATTTTTATAAGCACAGAATCGGAAGAATCATGAAGCAAGTACGAGACAACTGAAAAATGAGCACACAATGTGTTTAATGTATGGTTTTCATATTTTACGAAAGCACTCTGTAGTTTTGCATGGAACTATAAGTTGGTTTTAACCACCTAAATTCTCGTTCACTACTTGTCGCGAAATCGAAAAAAATATCGATTTTGAGAATGTCTAAGAAATACATTTTTAACATTGTTGTTATTCTAAAGAATAATTGAATCATCTTACTTCAAATAACATATTATTCCTGAATAGGTTTTGAATCACAATCCATAATACGTATTCCACACATGTCAGCTGGTGCGATCACATAATAGTATCTCATAAAATACTCTTTTTGACTGAACTTTTCATCTAATTTAAACATTCTTCATCAAGTAGTTGGATGCCTATTATGATTACTGAGTTAAAGACGATAAACTCAGTATCTATGTCTGAGACATAAAAATAACCATTAATTCAGCAAACTTGAATCGTCATTTAGTGACAAGTGCTAGTGACTTTTCATGATCACAACTAAAATAAAAGATGGATCACATACAATCGGAAACCTGAACGTGCTGCAAGTGAAATAAATGATTATTACAACTTCACGAGGGAGCTTCGATAATAATTATTCTTCATAGTTCGTCAGTTTATTTTGCTTGAAGCATCAGAAATGTAGAAAGTCTTAGTTTAAAAACATAAACCATATCTATCAGATAACCACCTGCTTTTCGCTAAGGCGAAACTGAAGCTAAAGAAGCACTGAATAAGTGGAAAAACAGCATTATAAAGATTGAATACAGCTTTCCTTTCAAATATTGAGGAATTTAACGAATCCAAGATAGCTCTCAGTGACAGGTTTCAAGTCTCGCAAGATCTACATAAAGAAGTGGGGACTGCTATGGAGAATAACTGTAAAGGGATTAAAGAGACAGTAACCTCAACATGAAGTTCTAAGGAGCAAAAAGCACCGTTGTAAGGAATGAATCTATCGACCCCCTGCGCAGGATTAAAGAATGAAAAAAGCAGACAGCAATTAATAACAGCATAGTAAGAGCAGAAAAAGCCAAAGTACATGACGAATACACAGAAGCAGACAATCGAGAAAAGAGGAGCATTAGAGCTGATAATTGGAAGCGTGTGGAAGATCTAGCGATGACAGTGGGAAAAGCTTCAAGAGAAGGAAATATGAGATAACTATATGACAACGAAGAAACCATCAGGGAAATATTGTAAGCCAGCCAAGGACAAAGAAGTTAAGTCAATCATTGCGGTTTAAGAACAACGGCACTAGTGGGTAGAGCACTGAACCCACCAAACATCGAAGCAGCACATACAGACCTTCCTATATATGTCACTCCAACGATCGAGGAAATCAGCATGGGCATCAAACAAATCACGAGTGGAAAAACAGCAGGACCTGATAATATACCAGCTGAAGCACTGAAGTAAGACAAAGAAGTAACTGCAAACATGCTCCACGTTCTATTCATGAAGATTTGGGAGGAAGAACAAGTGCAGACAAACTGGGAGGAAAGATATCAAGGAAAGGAGATCTGAGCAAGTGTGAGAACTACAAAAGCGTCAAACTACTATCAGTACCACGAAAAGTTTCCAACGTAGTGTTGTTGAACCGAATGAAAAATTTAGTAGACACGCAACTTCGAAAGCAACGGGCTGGATTTCATAAGGATTGGTCGTTCATAGACCAAATCGCGACACTACAGATCATTGTTGGGTAATCGCTTGAATGGAATTTGTCACTACAAATCAACTTCCTTGACTATGAGAAGGCGTTCGACAGTGTGGATAGGAGAACCGTATGCAACCTTCGACAATATGGTGTACCTGAGATCATTAACATCATACTAAATTCATATGATGAAGTACACTGCAAAGTCGTGCATGGAGGACAGCTGACAGACACATTCTAAGTGAAGATCAGTTTCTCACAAGGCTGCGCACTCTCTTTTTCTCTTTCTTTTAGTGATTGACTGGGTTATGAAAATCTACAAATCTGAGATGAAGCACAGAATAGAATGGATTACTTGAACGCAACTAGACGATTCGCACTTTGCAGATGATCTGGCTTTTCTATCCCATACACAACAATAAATGCAGGTGAAGTCAACTAGTATAGCATCAGGCTTTGCATCAGTGGACCTCAAATAATGAAGGGAAAAAGTAAGATCCTCAAATACAACATGGTGAACACCAATCCAATCACACTTGATGGAGAATCTCCGAAAGAGGCGGAAGCTGGGCAGCATTATCGATGAACAAGAAGCATCTGATATACACGTGAAGATGAGAATTAGCAAAATAAGGAGGGAATTCTTACGGTTGAAGATCATCTAGAACTCAAAACACTTGTCAGGCAGAATCAAAGTCCGAATTTTCAATGCGAACGTCAAAACTGTTCTGTTGTATGGAGCTGAAACTTTCTGAACCACTACAGTTATCATCAAAGAGGTGCAGTTGGAGTGGAAATTAGAATAAGACTCTGGAGCTGGTTGGATTAAACCTTAAGGTAATCTTCAGATTGCATCGTTAGGCAAGCTCTTATTTAAAATCCTGAATACAAGGAGAAAATGGGCAGACCAATGGACACATTACGTCGGGAATTGGATGTAGACTTCAACGGGATGAATAGCATTTGAAGGCGGCTCCAGAGGAGAGCCTAGGGCAGAGTTGGTTAGCGAATCCTGGTAGGCGGTTCACGTTCCTCCATGGGGGTTAACTGATGTAAGTAATTAAAAACCGACTATTGTTTTTCAAAATAGTGATGTTACTAATATAGACAAGTACTTGAAAATGTAAGATTAAGAATAATGAAGAGATTATCACAGACTTACATGATAGTCCAGTGGTGCACATGACGACCCACAGGGATAAATGTTTGCACAGAAATAATTCGGTGAGTTATACCTCAGACGACACTGTCTCGTATTGAAACAGCTATAGATTTTTTCGCAGTTATATGTATCTGAATATACCCAGCTTCGTTTCAATAATGATGGCGAGTGATTCTCCACAATAAACGCTGAAGTATTAACTAAATGAATAATAAAATTTTTCTAATTTTATATGTTTTGATTTATGTACTAAGATTAAGAATAAAAACTAATTGTAATTTTGAAATTTTTAGCTTACAATTAGACACTATCACAAAATATACCACTATATAGTTCTATAGGCATATGGGCATTGAGTAAAATTACTTCTTTAGTGTCTGTAAAAACAGATTTTTACACTGTCATTTGCATTGCCGAATCAAATGTTTCACTCATACGGACTCTTTTAACAATCAATAACTTAGGAAGCTGCTAGGTTGGGAGTAACATGTATTACTACTCACAATTGTAAACAAAAAAGTGGTATATCTCCAGTTTCTATACCATCAATATTTTGTATTCCGAACAAGACCACCTTCACGATTGGGAACTGAAATTATTTGATTTTAAACTATCAAAAAATTAGAACGGGAATAGTGATTCGGATAATGAACACAAATCAGGTTCATCCACTGATTAGATAACTGTAATCTAACCTACAATATCTATTGATGGCTGGTATGACTAATGTTCTTATACATCACTTACCTAGTTATTTAAGCTTGCTACTCCTTATAGAGTGATTTGATCGGTTCTCTATGCTTTGCACTTCAGAACCTTGCTTTTTCCTCGTAAACACTGAAACGTATTTCTGCTGAAGCCAATATTACATTCACTGTCATCGTCTGTATTTTCTGTTTTGTATGTGATAGAACTGCTAAGTTCAAATAATCCAGCTCTGTCTAAGGTGTTCACTGTATTCGGTGACTCTACCAGGATCTCGAGGTCTTCATAGACCAATCAACGGCTGGTAAAAGCAGGATAGACGATAACAGGTGTCCTTGTCTAACACTCGCCTTCGATGAGAATACACCTGTAATGTGCTGTCCGTGGACGACTTTGAAATTCAGTCCTTTGTACGAGATCCATATGATGTTAATGGCATTTATAGGGTTAAATAAGATTCTAAAACGTTTTTCTATCCACGTTGTCGAATGTTTTCTTATGATCAAGAAAATTCTTTTATAGTGATGTGTTTCACCAGTCGATTTTTTTTAGCAAGGAACATCAGTGTCGCTATTCGGTAGATACATGATCGATGCTTACGAAAGCCAGTTAAATGGTCTTGAAGTTGGAGTTCGACTAAATCTTTCGTTCGGTTCGGTAACACTCGGCTTCAGACCTTGCTTGGTACTGAAAGTAGTGTGATTTACGCGATGCACTTGCTAATTTTTTCTGATGTTGCTGTTGTCAAAACGCTCATCAGTCTTGTGGTTCCCGAAGAATCTTGGCTTTCATTGTGATACATCATAAATTTCCCGTATGAGAAGCCTCTTTCCTCATGGGGAAGAGATTATGCGGTTCTCTCTTCTAGCGAATTTTCATTGGGGTTTCTTTTTGTGATGTGGGATTACCAAACCGATGCTTAACCTTCTCTTTTTACTCCGGCTTGGTATCGAGATTAACCATGGAGGGGCTACGGGCGGATTTATTCTCATGCATACAGGAATGTAACACAATTCTTGGAGCTTAGTTATCCACTTATGTGATCAGACAATAACTATCCTTTACTATTCCTTAAATGTATAAATTAGAGATCTTCATTAGCAAAAGAAATCGTACATCAAGTAAATGATTTCGTCGAAAATTTTCTTCTCTGAATTCTTTTTTTCTTAATTCTGTATTAATTTATTACATAGAAGCTGGGTTGTGTATAGTCTAAATTATTTCATCCTCATTAAAGGTTGACAAATCCTAAAAATTTATATTCATTCAGGTAAATTTTATTCTATTCAACATTGCTGTGTGAGTTCCACTCAGAACACAACAATACGTGATGTATTTACTTTACATAAATGATTATCACGACTTTGGGTGTCATCACGTGGTTAGAATGGGCCTTAATGTAATCTGTTTTTAAGGTTCTTTCTTCTATTTTGTTTTGCTTATCATTTTTATGTCAGCTATCTGATAAGAAAAGTATACTAATACTGAACAGATGTGATCATGTTCAACGTTGTTCAAGTAAATTAGTTCAATCAAAATATCAAACTATCGATTAGACAAATAGCCAGTTTGAAATAACAAAAATTAATTGAAGAATAATTTTACGTGGTCATATTAAAGAACTTTAGGGATAAACTTTTATACAGTTGTTTTATAGCTCTTTTTCATTCACCTTTGTAGTAAAAAAGGTAAAAGTGAATATTTCTGTTTGAACTGTAACTAGTTTTATGTAAGTAATAACTCGAGAATTTGAAAACAATTTATGCAACCTAAATAGATGATCTTTTTAAGAAGCATTTACATAAAACTAGTTCGTTAGTTTAGTGACTCTTAGGTATCGGATAAAACTAAAAAGTTCACTACATGTTGCAATAATTGTAAAGACATAAGAAAAGGTAGTTCAATCCAAACTGAAATATGTATCGACTAGTGAAATAAGTCTCTATATCACACTCGATCACAGAGTTATGTTGTTAACTAAAGGTGTAATTATTTCGATCATTTGGTCAATATATACATGAATAAGAATAGTATCCTGCTACATAAAAAGACCAGACTTAGTGAATTCTTAATATCATTTTAAAATGAAAGGACCCATGTGGTATGATTCACTTAATCTTTTATTTGTATCACTATCTCAATCCCTTCAAAAGTCTTTACTCAGTTTCAAATATTGTTTATTTCCTCTAACTCAGTAGTCTAAATGCTAAGCCCTCATTAGTATGTCCAGGTTTTGATCTTTAACTGGGTTGCAAACGCACGTCACTAAGGTGTCATATACTAGGATAGGACAGTTGTTCAGTGCTTCCTTGTTTTCGATAGTCGTTTAACTAAAGTCAAACCTTGATGTTTACTACATCAGGAAATATTTATTTGTATTTAAACTGTCTGAATCAATGTTATGACTTGGAAAATAGTCCTTTCATTTATTATACTTCAAATCATAACAGATGACTCAAAAGTATTTCTAAACTGGCACGGAATTTAAAACAGAAAACGTAGAGTTAGAGGTAATCAAAACATTAAGTTTTACAGATAAAAATATCAATTCACTAATTTGAATGAAATACGTTTTGGTTAACAACACACATACCGACTATAACCGAATACTATCAGAAGATAGAAGTCTATTGATCCTAGCTAAAACTATGGTTATCATGTTAATTATTATGAAACAAATAAATAAATGAAATATTAATAATCATCGATGTCATCATAACCAATTTTACGAAAACGGTTTTTCTAATTAAATGTCATCAAGACACTTTTCATCCCACAGAACACCAATATAGACTAATTTTAAAATTTTATGTATATGTTTGATAGTTTGCACTTTCAAACTGACAAGATGACCTTCATCAATGAAAAGAAATAGAACACATGTTGATTCCTTATCTTGTATCATAGTCCTTAGTATCGCAAAAAAAATGATGGTGATCAGAAAGTTTAGATGAAGTTATTAATCTGTGAATACATACCCAGTTTGTTCATGATACTAATAATGAAAAAGGAAATATATTATGCCATTATTATTCTCATCACTGTCATCACCAGTGTTATCATGTTGGCTGTCTTCAGAAGAATAATAATACCTTATAGTACTGGATTACCTTAAATATATTGGAAATACAAATGAAGAGTAGTCAACAAGGGAAATTAAGATGGATGTTTTATCCTGCTCAGAAAGCATCATATGGATGCAACTGCATCTGAGTGTATGTCCCAGTACTAGCCACTACCAGAAAGTATAATAAAATCTATGATTATAGGTAGTATCGAAGCATCTTGGCAAACATTTCAACAGAGACAGACCAAATTTAGACTTAAACATTACCAGTGTGAAATTATATGGCTCGAAAATTAATCTTTAAATATAATGAGTTGTTACATTCAATGTATAAAAAGGTAAGAAATATATCTTAGTGGGTCTTCATCTAAGGATTTTTGATTATTCACTGCATTAAATTTGTTCGTTTGATTAAACAGACTTTCATCATCATTACAATATAATTTCTTTCCGAAATCTTTCCAACATCTACATATCCGTAGGTCAAATATAAACTTACTAGAGACCGAATTCCACAGAAAACAACAAAATTAAAATTAAGTAACTTTAGTGATGTTAATGAGAAATTGTATTATAAACTAGTCTATTAGTTATGATCATGTTTGTTTTCAACTTCTTTACTCACTAAATTACTGAAACAACTCAAAATCTAAACATTGACCATTGATTATTATCAAAGGAGAGGGGTATTTCGCTTTATGTTTATGTTGATGAGATAGAGTAACAGGTTAAATATTAAAAGCCTCTTTACATTTCATTTCTCTAAAAAGGTCTGTTTTTTCAGTTTTCTTTCCCAGTGTGATTATCCTCCATAGTAGGACATCGAATAAGAAACAGGTCTTTAGAGTCTAAACTCTCACAAAGTAAGAGTAACTATATCCTCTAAGAAGGCACTCCTCAAAGCCACTTTTTATATAACACAAATAACATTGTATTTCCTGAAACGCTTTTAGAAATTTACGTTTTATAGTTATGATGTACATTTCTGCAAGTTACTCAAAGTACTTAACGAATGAAAAAACGACACTTTTAATCCTTCATACTTAGGTTATTAAATGCGAGCGTTCCTGATTTGACCTGTATATACAAAAGGAATATATAGTGAAATCCTTCCTGTTCTACTAAAAGTAGTTACAAAAAAAGTACCTTTACCTATTACATAACTTTGTTTTTATACTTATCAAGTTAATTTTTTGAAATTTTACGACGTGATTATGTAACCACCTAGTTTTCATATGATTATAAGCGATTTAAAACTTTCTTTCCTACATAGCGGGACTAGATTTTCAAAACAAATGTGCATCAGTTTCCCACTTAAGGTTTCTGGTCCTATTTCGAACATCCATCCAAACTTTATTAACTAGAGTACATGAAACTTCTGTTTCTAATCATGCCAACCATCGTGACTTTAAGCTGTTTGTATCTGATGAAGAGGCTTAAATAGAAGAAATTCTTCTGTTCTATGAAGAACATTACTGGTATTTTAACTGTTATTTGTAGGATGAAATATTAACTTATTTAGGTAGGTTTGCGAAACTTACTTATAACTTATGTTATTGTGGTAATGAACAGAGAAAATGAGTGTAGATATATACTGTTGTTGGTACGAATCAAAAGACGCAACTGTGTAATTATGGTTAATTCACCGATCCAAACATCAATTTTCTTTTGCCTTAAAGGTAGTAACAATAGTTATTCGGTTTCTAGGTCCTCTCTTATTAGTAACCTGATTCTATATTACAATGAAATAATATTCTTTGTTTGTTACCACTGATTTCACCCTAAACATTTTTAAAAATCTTATGTAAAACGTTAGTTCAGACATGGCTGCTGAGAGAACCTCACAGAAAAAGCCCTGCGTAATGTCCTTATACAGCCAAGCGAAACTGCACTGAAAACGTTGTTAAAAAATTAGATAACACGACATTGGTTTGATTGTGTAGTGATCCAATCGCTCGGAAATGTGACTCATATAATTTCTGTTACTCTATAGTTTTAAACTGTACCAATAACGTATATTTCATAATATGGATATGTAGGGAGTTTTTGAAGTTTTAATTTTAGTGGAGCAGTAGCATTTCTAATGACTGGCAGGAATGAAGCTAGAATCTAGTTACAAATTAAGATGAGTTTGTTCATCATAAACCGAATGAATTAACAATAAATTCAGCTAAAATGAATGTATTACCATCAATACTTAAACTAGTATTTCTAGGAGCATATCCAAACTGGAAACTACTTTCAGTATAAATTGATAGAAGCAAAAATATACTGGGAAATAACCGGAATTAAATTTGTAAACACTAATGCAGTCGTTATAAGACTTAGAGAATGTACATTTGCGCTTCAAAGAGACTAAGGATGAATGCTACTGTTGAGTATTGAATCACAGTAAAATGATTATGTGGTAAAACTTTAATTGTAGTAGTTTTATCTTAAGTGTTCGTTTTCTAAAAGAAGTATTTTCTGTTGATAATTGAGTTGATCAAATGTCCGTCAGATAACTTTGAAACAGCTGGCAAAATATTGTTAATTGATTGTTATTTTATTGTGTAAATCAGTTAGAGGATATCTGAGTACCAACGAAACCTCTAGATAGATAGAAAAATAATAAGTTGGGATTTATGAGTTAACCTCAGAGGGGATACTTGTATTTTGATCGATCAATATGCCATTTATCTACTCTGAAGAAGTGACTTAAATTAAGTCACGAAACATCAGAAATAAGATTTTCTTACTGAATGAGATTTAAGAAAAATATATTTATTATTAACTTTCTAGCCAATATTCAGTTTATTTGAAACTATCCAGTCCAATCTTAGTATTGATACCTAAAGACATTTTATGTTATTGACAAATTAGTGAATGCACAGTTTTTACCCTAAACTGTGCGACTTATATTTTTCTACTCCATAATGTGTAGATCGATTTAAAATTTCTAGGCGTATAATGAAACCAAAACATTAAGAGGTTTATGACAATTTTCTATTTATAACTCTCAGAGTCTTTCAAACACAACGAAAAGCAGTCATAATTCCACTTCGCTTCTTTTTTGGATGAATATCACTCAGTAAGCTAAGATGAATTCTTGAAAATTAGTATTATTCTCCATCTCAAAAGATTTCCAAAATTTGTATCTTGTAAAGTTGTGTTGCAAATAAGGTTAGTTTTCAAATGAAGTTCTCTGAATTATGATTTTCTGTTTCCAACAAACCAGTTTGTCACAAAGTAGAAATGCACTTAGTCTAACGTGTTATTTCATAAAGTTCTTCCGTTTAAGCAAGTTCAGTCAAACAAAAACAACAGTCTTACCCAATCACATGCATTAAAAAAGACCACACACAGGAGGACGAGTTGTTGCTTGAATACTTGAACATATTTTATAAAAATATATACTAAAACGACAATGTTTTTTCGACAGTGATTGGTCATTATTTGTTAGTTAGCTAACCCGATGGTGAGACTCGAAAATAAACATAAACTTAACGGCTTCTGGAGCTATCTTTGTCGAAAGCTAACTAAATCTATGTACTCCAAAATACATCATTGTCAAAATTGTTTTGCTGTGGTGACCTCACTTTTGATTAATTTATGACATAAGATGGGAATTTACGTCTTCAATATCAAACTAATTTTTCTTCACTCTCGCTCCCTATTTGATCTTTTCTCAGCTAATCAATATCCAGTGTACTTGCTATTATTTAGCGTACAACACTAGTTTCCATTTGTAGAAATCCTCATCCATGCTCTTGGTTTTTTCCTTTAGAACATTCATACGGTTAAATAATAAATAGATAACCGTATAAACGACCTTTTGATTCTCTCACAATTATTGTCTTTTTATAAATCTATGTACAAGTTAGACTTATTCTTAATTTCGAATTTCCTGTAAATTTTACACAAAGGATATACACTTATTTCTATAGTTGAAGTGTAATCATTTTTAGATTGTGAACCCTTTAGAAGAATCCAGTAAATAAGTAAATTAACGTTCCTCCTCTGGGATAATTGTTGTTGCTTGACTGAAACCTGTTATTTCATGAATAATTATATTAATGGTACTTTATATATGCTGAAAAGATAAACTGTGAAATTGTAGTCACTATAGAACTTAAAATAGAAAATTTAAATATTCGTGTTCATCAGTATTCACTTAAGTGCTAGATCACATCATATTTTTAGTCGTTAATAGAAGGATAATAAAATCAGAAGTCTAGAATAGAAAATCTTATTATAAAATAAAACAAATCCAAAACTGATATTTATCCAAAGCATCGATATTCACTGTTATGAATATTTAAAATATTGTGAGTAAATAAGAAACCATACGGTAACTTACCATTCCTGAAGGACAATAAAATCACCGTAGAAAATAGTATCCCAGTGGTTTTATATAATGTATCTGACATGTTAAACTTTTACCCAGAAGTATAGATGACTACGCAATTCAAATAACTAAATTTTATTTCGAAAATTCCAACCGCTATATAAATTAGAATTAGTAATATGTCGTTATATCTCTTTCGCAACAGTTTTAAAATGTAGAATATAAACGTATGTATACAATTTAAATTTAATTATTACAAGCAGTATATAGGCCGATTTAGTTATTATACTGTTGGAAGATAATTATTACCACTATCTAGTAACATGTTTAAGTATAAACCAATCGTGTTTAGCTATTTTCCTTGATATAAAATCTGTCAATATGACCAAATGGATAGAATCCTGAGTGGATTAAGCTCTTTACTGTAATCTGATTGGATGAATGGAAATTGAAAGGTTGATGTGCCATTTTATTTTGGTACAGGTAACTAAACAAGTGAGTAAGCATAACAATGTAGTGAGAATTTTTATTATCATAACCACTAAATCAACTATACGTTGGAAATGATGAAGCAGTAGAAGGAAATTCAATAGGGGAAACTTTCATATTTTGTCCATTGAACTCTTAAAACTATTCTCTACTTTGAAACATTGCACTATGTACTGACATCGAATGGTTACCTTAGGTCGGAGTTCAAAACGAAACTGGTCATGTTTGATATTCGACAAAAACTACAGACTTAATGAAAGACGAATAAAGAAGAAATTATATTGGTGAGTCGATTTGTAATAAGTTTGTGATATACAGGTGCCTTGAGTACTTTTGAAATGATCTTAATATCATGCAAGTCTGAGAATAAGAACGATTGTTCTCATATGACTTTAAGTGATTGGTCTATGTTAGAAATAAGTGAGAATTGAGAGCTAGGATTTTTGCTTCTTGACTTGTTTAGTTTCATCTCTGAAAAACAGTAAACTAAGGTCTTTAGTTAAGATCAGGAAGGAGCTAAACAGACCTAACTTTAAAAATAGTTAATTTTTTAAAGGTATTCGTTATTAAAAAATCTCATGTAATGGGTTTATGGATTAAGAAACGGGTGAACCCACAAATCGCTCATGAGATCAGTCACTAAACTCAGACCAATTAGTTTATAGGAGGCAGATTAGTCAGCTGATTTTATTATATCTATCTTGTTGTTTATACCCAGATTTTTTAGATGAAATAATATAATCTAACAACGTATAATTTTCCGAGGAGGGGAATAAAAGTTATGAAGAAAATAATGATCCTTTCAATCTGTTGGTTAGAATAAAACTATTGGCAAAATGAACAAATAAAATAAACAGTTTACATATTTCTTTCGTAAATTAATGATATAAAAATTCGAATTATTTAATCGTCAGAGAAGAATCACCGTTATACTTCCTAGATATAGTTACTGACCTAAATTTTACCAACCAGTCATTCAACTGAGATCTTTAATTTATTATACATTTTAATCTATGTTAAATAGATGAGTATTAAAGAAGTCTAATAGTCTATAATATTCAATGTTAGTTACCACTCATAGACTTGATTTATCTGAACTTATTGAACAAACGATTTGCTTACCAGAGATTTCAATTGTCAATGATCCTAGCGACTAAAATTGTCTACACTTACTGATCTATAGACTAAATGCATATTAGTTGATATGAAGTTATGCTAACAAGAGTATTCTTATCATTTACTACAATACTACGTTTATAGTAAGATTTTAAACTTTTAGTTTATGATATTGTTAACTCTATATAATAGCTGCTGTGATTTTTTCGATCTACAGTTTTAAAAAAACCTATTTCTTCATTGATACTCTTTGTACCAAGGATATTTAAAAACAAAGATTGAATAACCCTATTGGTTTGTTTAAAGGTATCTAGCTAGAAAAGTTGTTTAACTGAAAATTCCATGATTGATTTCTCTAGATAGATCCTTTAAAGTATTCATCAACATCATCATCAACATCAAAAAATAAGATCTATTAAAAAAAAACAACTAAATTCTAAGTATAAATAGCAAGTGTTGAACTAATGAAAACGTCGAATTGGTTCATGTTTTCATTATGGATGACAAATGTATTATACAAATATTTAATCAAAATATCAAAGCTTTTATTGATTGAGTAACACCGATTGATCTTATATTTGAACATAAACGAGTCTTTCATAGGCTTGACAAATAGGTAAATTATTTCTTCTCCATTTTATCATTCGTTTTCATTTTGCTAGTAACACTGAGCTGTATATCCAAGTTCTGAACCATCGTCTACGAAAATCACATGGTAATTTTAATTCGCTTTCAAATGGATTGATTTAATTGCAGACAGAACAGAGCTTTTGTCAAGGATATAATTATATTAATTAGACTAAAATAAAATAATGTAATAACTATAGCAGAAGTATCAGGAAACTAACTACTTCCACATAACATAATAAAGTGATACTTGCATTTTAACTACCTCAAATCCTCCTCCACACTGTCGATGATACATGAGTTAAGCACATGTTGACCTTTAATGTAAAAATCCTGTACGGAAAGCAGTGAAACGTTCACAGAGCTGAACACCTCGGAGAAAGAATTTAATGATCTAGCACCAAAATCCTATAAGCGCATTTTGCGCTTGTTTGGACAGCATCAATGCAACTCCTTGTGTATGTGGTGCATTTTCATCTTCATGGCCGGAGTATAACAGGAGCTCTCCTGTAGTTAGTCGTTGTTGTCCAACTTGTGTCCAATGTGTTTCACTGATCCCAAGTACCTCTAGGTTGTATCTTCTCATTTCTGCAGCAGTTTGGAAGGCTCTCCCGGTGTCCCACATTGTCAGAAGGGGCATCGGCCTCGTAACTTCCGAAGGAATTCGGCTTTCATCATGAGGCGTCATAATTCTTCTAAATGAAGACCTTCTGACTCCCAGGGCAGAGTTTAAAAGGTTTGAATAATTTTTTCTGGTTAGCGTTTTTTTAGCGAGTTAGTTTTCTACGGGATGGGGACGCTAACCCCATGCCCAACCCTCCTCCTTTATCCGGGCTTGGGACCGGCAGTAGCCCCCGGAGGGACTCCAGGCGGAGTTATAACTTTAGTGAGGTGAAATGAAAAACCAGCTCAATAAATTCATTAAAAAAAAACCATAACCATACTTGTTTGCATGTTTTAGGAAATAAATCATTCTAATGCTTCAGTAGTTTATATTTGTGTGATTAGTTATGCAAATTCAATTTTCGTTCTTAAAAGCATTCTGAAAGCTCAGGAGTAACTGATCTGGAAATGGCGAAAGCAGCCACTTTACTTCAGCTAGCAAAGTTTAGTAGTAAATTCTAGCCTTTAAACCTTGTCTAACTTTCGTACGCATTGGATGTGATGCAGTGGTTATAAGACAAAGAGCATTTGGTGAATTGGTTACATCCTCGATTCTTATGAATATATTGTTACCTTGTTGGTATCTGTATAGATCCAAATCTTATTTTTATTTAGTTTGACAATATTTAGTTACTGAAATTTCATTCATTCTCTTCAACAATTTGTGATAACGATATTAGAATGGACTTGTCACTCACAAACGGTAAAATTATTTACTTCATAAAACAAATGATTTTATTTCTACACAGTTTCTTCAGATCCTTCGTAAGGATTACCTATTTCTTTTTATTAAACGATGCTTTGGGTTTTTTTCTACAACAAACAAGTAGACGATGTTTATTTTTTTTATTGAATATAATGACCATCTCTTTACTAATTCGATTCATACTAATTTCACTACTGATACGTTTGTTTTGCATGTCTACAAAATTATAAAACTGAATCTTATTGTCTAACCAATTTCTACTAAAACGTATAGTCCTGAGAATAAATTTAGTCGTCTGTTCTCTTTTTGTTTTCCATCCAGTTAGTGAACTCATTGGGCTAAAAGGTAACCTCGGTCATTTTTGATAACTCTGTGTTTTACATATATATGTTTAGAATTACAACAGATCAACTCATTATCTGTAAACAAAATTGAGAAACAGATGTTAAACAAGATTTCGCTTTCTAAGTCTGATAAGCTGAAAAGAAACTCTATTCGCCGTTCAAGTTTTTCAGCCAACATAATAAAGCCATAGAATAGGTTAAAATTCAAGCTCATTTATTGGTAGATTGTTTGTTATTATTAAGGAAATTTAAGCGTATCATGATTTGTTGTTTAAACAGTGGAGATATATAATACTTAAGTAAATCGATAGAAAAGTCTTTCACTGCTATTAAGAACAATGATAGTTTAGATGCTGTAAGGCATGATTGTCTTTGAAGTATTATAAATAACCCCAATGACTGCATAAAAACTAAAAGTAAGCTTATTTTTGTAGGTATTTACTTGATGATTTCAAGATCCAACTACATATAACGTACAACTTAGGGATTGTTTAACTTAGCTGATTAACCGTTTAGTTTCATAGAGTTTGTTCAGGATATGACGTTAGTGAATTATATTGGTTATTATCTAGTAGTTGATAATGTGCATTGGAATACAATAGTAAACATTTTTGAGATTTTTAAAGATAGATAAACGGTGAATTTGTAGGCTACTAGCAAAATTTCCTGATGTATTCTGTAAGCATTTTAGTGCTGTTATTCTCGTTTTCCTGGTACATATAACAGGACATGATTGTACATCAGTTTATGCAGTCATTTACAAATTGCATTTCTTTTTTCCATGACTGACAGAATAAAATAAGACAACAAAGAAACTTGTGACTTAAGTGGTGTTCCAAAACGTAGATATTTTCACTTTTATGTATGAAACAGGTTACTTTAATAGATCTTTGGTGATTGATTACTATCTCAAAATTTTGGCATACTTGAAAAGCACTAAAATAACAGTAAAAATGACTGTCAATTTGAATACTTTTTGTTGCAACAATTGGCGATGTGTATTTTGGAAAAAAAGAAAGCCATATCAAATTATTTTTGATTATTTCTTGGCTGATAATTTGAAAAAGCGCAAAAAAAAGAGCAAATGCAAATACATTTGCAGCAGCAATAAAAATTATTCAAAAATCGGTTGGGATTTATTGAAAAATTGGGATCGGGGCTGCTGAATCATTCACGTTTTGGAGATATGGTAAAAATTGATGAACTGATTTCTTAATATCGTACGGAAGTGGAAAATGTCTACAGAATGAATAAACGTA